AGATAAATAGATGATAGATAGGTAGGCAGCTAGATGGAGAGACAGAGAGAGAAAACACACAGAGAGAGAAAAAACAGAAAAAAACACAGAGAGGGAGAAAACAGAGGGGGGGGGAGAGAGAGAGAGAGAGAGAGAGAGAGAGATGGCAGACACGCAGGAAGACAAGCAGGCAGACTGACAGACAGACAGACAGACAGTATTCCCTACACCTGTTTTGGCAAACCAGAGGTGGCACACAGAGCCCCCTCTGCAGGCATTCAAGCCGTTGCCCTAGCTCAGCTCTGCCTCACATGCATTGCGCCTCCTGCTGGCCAGCTGGATTATGGGGTCTCTGCCATGCATACATGGGGGGTGGGGCGCATGCAGTGGATGCATGTGCATGCATGGGGATGCACACGCATTGCATTATGGGGGTTTGCAAGCGCACGTGCTTTGGGTACTCGGTGCCGAAAAGGTTATTCATCACTGCCCTAACCCCTTTAGAGTTAACTCAGTTCCTTGAACAGAGAAAAATTGGACATGGGTTCCTTGAAAAGGAGACCAATAAGGATGTTATGGCAATATAACCATTCAAATTTTCAGTGTGGTATCATTATTATAAAAAACACAGAAGCTTTTCCCATTACCTAGTTAATGTTACCAATGCCCTACTGAAAAGAGGTAACAGATAACAGATAATCAGAGTTGGAAGGGACCTTGTTGGTCGTCTAGTCCAACCCCCTGCCCAAGTGGGAGACCATACATCATTTATGACAGATGGCAGTCCAATCTCTTCTTGAAAGTCTCAAGTGACGGCGCTTCCACAACTTCCGAAGGCAACTTCTGTTCCGTGGGTTGATTGTTCTCACTGTCAGAAAGTTTCTCCTTATTTCCAGGTTAAATCTCTCCTTCTTCAGTTTCCATCCATTATTCCTTGTCTGGCCTTCAGGTGCTTTGGGACATAGATTGACCCCTTCCTCCTCTCTGTGGCAGCCCCTCAAATATTGGAAGACTGCTATCCTGTCTCCCCTGCTCCTTCTCTTCACTCGACTATCCATGCCCAGTTCCTGTAACCGTCCTTCATGGCTAGTCTTATATTATATAGTGTTATATCCTTAAACTGCAGACCACCTTATACGTTTTTGGCATATCTTGAAGGGAGATTTTGTAAACACAAGTTGAGCAGCGTCTCAGTCCCTGTAGCCTCTGATTACCTAGTGGGCCTCATTTATGATGAGATCGAGGTCAAATTACTTGATGAACTTTAATAACTCAGTTATCTTCTTGCAGATGTCTTTCCAACTGTTAGCAGCCAGATGGCTACCTCTGCTCCATTCTTATTAAAACGAGGCCATTTGAAGTTCTTAATTTCTTGCCCTGGTTTTCTCTTGATCTGATTTACTTATACCTAATATTCATTTTACCATCTATTTAAAGTTACATTTTGGTATTTTATGCCATGTTACATGGAGATCACCAGAATTTCTGCAACTCCTGCTAACTTTTGCTGGTACCTCTACTAACTAAGGCCACTGGAATTTTAAGTACACTGGGAAATCACCCAGAGGTTGGAGGCTAACTTAAAACCCAGTTCAGCAATAACATTGACAGAAGATAATATTTGTAGCTCAAGTTTGAACTGCGGGGTCTTTAGTGCTCTCTGAGTTTGGTGCTTTTCTTGCAGACATTTCATTACCAAACTAAGTAACATTATCAGTGCTAATAATGTTACCTAGTTTGGTAATGAAATGTCTGCCAAAAAAAACCAAAAACCCCAAGCTCAGAGAGCACCAAGGAGCCCACAAATATATATATATATATATATATATCAAATAAAATCTCCTCTTTCAGAGGTAGCCCTCCTTTCATTATTGGTTGTTAAAGAGATGACTTCTTGTGACCTTTCTAAAAACAAGCAAGCTAGTCATATCGGGAGAGAAAGTCCTAGTTTGTGTCTTTTAATTATGCAAAGTGACTGCACCAAAGTTAGTACTGTATTTTTCACTAAATATTCTCAGCTTGATTTCAGAGCCAGTATCTAGATTTATAAGGAACTCCCCACCGAAACTACAGGAAATACAGTTATTATTTCTGCATGCATAATAGTTATTTATGAGATTAATGATGTGTGTGCACAATCCAGCCATACACAGTATCCCCCTGCCTCAAATAACACAGTATCAAGCTTCATTGTGGCTTCAAGGAAATTACATCGCCTAAGAGACAACATCAGAAATGTTGATTTGGAAGTTGAGCATTATTGGGCTGCTCTGCAGCTCAATAGTAAGAAAAATCACTGGAGAATATAGCATACAATAAGCACACTAAAAAGGGCACCTGTTGACGCTTTTATTTATTTACTCAGTAAATCCCACGTTATCTCCATCATTTTTCAAGAGGCCTTATCATTAATATAATTCTGTAAGTTTCTTCTCTGTGCTTAGCTGAATTAAGTACTTTATTTTACCAAGTAGAAACCTACGTTTTTTTTTTAAAAAAAGAAAACATTTCATGCCTCTGTGAAGTCAGACAAAAATAATTTTGAAAAACCAATTAAATTATCTGAGACTAATTATCTAAGACAATTATCTTAAGCTCAAGTCTATGAAACAAAGAGAGAGGAACGTTTTCTCACCACAATCGTTAGGCAAAGCTCGGGGAAAAAAATCAAATTGTCTTTTGCTCAGCTCATGATGGCATTTTCTGACCCCTGGTAAAATGTTAAAAAATCTCCAACTATTTGTGTTAGACAAAGGACTGCAGCTCTACAGATGTTAAAGATAAAACAGTTTTTGTAAGCCATCAGAAAGAAAATTCACAGTACTTTTATGAACTTTTTTCATAAAAGAGGAACAAATGAACTTATGATCTGTGGTTTTGAAAATTAGATTGTCTAGGTAACAGAAAGAAGATGATTATGGAACTTTAGAGAAAATGATAAATCTACAATCTTTTTTTCTTTTCAATTTTTCTTCTAGCCTTTTT